AAGAACCAGCCTCCGCCCGTGATCATCGGTTGGAACGAGAAAACTTGCCAGCCGGAAGGCTCGGCCGAGAACATCCTTAAGGACCTTGTGTCTTTCGCCCGATTGAACTGGCCCGATGCTGCAAATGAGTTTGGGCACAGCTTGACGGTGATCGAAGGCACGCGCAAGAAGGTCAATGCGGTATCTCGAAAGTCGACGGCGAACCAGAATTTGCGGTCTGGATTCTTCCCCGTTGACCAGGCCGAGCAGAAAGCCAAGAAGGGCAAAGGCAAGGGAAAAGCTCCAGCCTCCGGATGTTTCGTGTGCGGGGGGCCGCATTACAAAATCGATTGCCCTACCTATCACGAGCAACGTCTCCAGCAGAGGACCCAATCCCGGAAGGGGAAGGGCAAGGGCAAATCCGATCGCCCACGCCCTTGTTCACCGGCAGCCCATCAGTGGCGAGTGGTGCCAAAGCCCACGGAGGGAAAGGGAGCAGCCGGCAGTTCCTCGGACGCCGTTGTCGGGCCACCCGAGCGCACCATTGCTCAGGACATTGCAATGAAGGGTGCCGCCAAGGCCAAGGGCAAAGGCAAGAGCAATCAGCAGCCGAAGGGCAAGTGCAAGTATGAGCCGCAGAAGGGGCAGTACAAGTCCGAGCCATACAAGGGGCATGGCAAGGAGAAGGGCAAAGGGAAGCCTGCGCAGGAGCGGGTGTACTATGGCGAGCGTGAGTGGTCCGGATGTTGGAGCTTTTCGTGGAAGTGGACCGCCTCCCGGGGATGGTACTGGGAGTGGGACCCATAGATCCTTTCGGCCGCTAGTGTGTGTGACTTCCATGCTAACGGGAACGTTAGCCGGAATGCTTTCTTTCTCATGTTGGTTTGCGAAGTATTTGGATTTCATGTTCGTTACGCTACAAGGTGAGACCCGGCAGTTATAGAAGTTAAGATGAAGTACAAGTTCACTATAGTGCACTATAGAGCACTATAGCTTGCTTAAGTTCCGGATAACTAAGTTATGACATTTTTTAAAGTAATAGTGAAGATATAACTTATAATAACTTATTGGCGTTTTTCAGAGTATTGATTTTCAATTTTTTTCGTGAAGTTATCCGGAAGTTACTGAAAGTTAATTTTTTACTTTTTTCCAGAGAAAGTGCGATCTTGAAGACGAAAATTAGCAAAACAAAATTACAAAAAGGCACCACCCGCGCGCACGCGCAGAAGTGTTGGCTCAGAGCAATTCGAGACGCGTCGCGCATGGCTTGGGAGGAGCGGCAGGACCGCTGGGCGGACGAGGGCGGCTGGCAGCGGCAGGGCCGCTGGGCGGAGGAGGCCGAGCACGAACCGGCTTGGCAGCGGCAGGGCCGCTGGTGGGACACAGCGCAGGAAGCAGGTTGGCAGCGGCAGGGCCGCTGGGGCGTCTGGCCGGCAACTGGGGTGGCTGGCGAAGTTGGGAGGGTGCTTGGCGGCCGGGCCGCTGGGAGGAGGCTTCGCGCGAGGAGGGCGCTGGGGGGCAGGACCGCCGGCCTCCGCGCGTAACGCCGGAGATGCGGGAGGCCATCCGCGCCACCGCGCGGCGTCGCGGTGTGTCGCACCGCGAGGCCGAGCGGCGCGTGCTCGACGTGCACCGCAGCCGCGGCGGCGTGCAGGCGCGGGAGCAGCGCCGCGCTGCAGCAGCCGCAGCAGCGGAGCAGAGCGTCCGGCGGCAGAGCCGCGGGCGGCAGAGGCGGCAGAGCCGCAGGCGCCAACGCCCAAAGCGCCGCCGGCGTGGATGCAGCCAACGCCAAAGCAAGGAGCGGCAGAGCCGCCACCGCCGCCGCCGCCAAAGCAAGGAGCGGCAGAGCCGCCCCCGCCACCACCGACCGCGCCCAAGCAGCCTGCAGCGGAGCTTCTTCAGCTGGCGCTTCTACCCGCGGCCGCGCCGCGTTCGGCCCGCGCCAGCAGTCACGGCGCGAACAAGGTCCGCGAACGCGCACCTTCGCCGCGCCCGCGGGGCAGATCCATTCCTGCTGCGGCGGCGCCGCAGGCGGAGGCAGCCGCTGCGCCGCAGCAGCCACCGGCGAAGGCGGCAGGGCCGCCACAGGCAAAGGCGGCAGGGCCGCTGTTGGTGGAGATCACCCGGTTCTCCTGAGAGCGGCCGCGGTAAAACTGAGGGTTGGAGCGGTGCGTGGCGCGAGGGGACGAACCGGTTTTCGAGCCGACAGCACTTTGGCCCGAGTATCTTTTTTCCTTTTGGGGCCATGGATACGCAGGCGCTGCAGCGCTTGCTGTCGGCGCGCAACCACACCGCGCTTGACCTGAGTGAGCTCCATGTGAGGGCAGCTGGCCAAGTCGCTGGAGTTGCTGGCGGAGCGACGACACCAGCTCCACCCAGAGCGCGGCTGCGCCGCGGACCGCGGTCGGGCCGCGATGCAGGACTGGACCGCCTTTCCTATGTATATACGGACGAGGTCTGGGCGGCAGTGCTGGAGAGGCCGCGGGCCGCGGCTTTGGAGGTGCTCTCCAGACACTTGCTCCGTATAGGACTGCGCAACCCATCGGAGCCAACGCAAGCGGTTGTGGCCGCTGTGCTGTGCCACAAGCTGACGGACGCGGAGCTCCCGGACATGCAGGGTGTGTATCAGGGCGTGAAGGCCAAGTTGCGCGCGGACATAGCCCATGCCCCAAGCCTTACCCAAGGATTCGCGCCGGCGCCACGGCGGTTGCCCCTGTCTCCGGCGGACGCTCCGCCTGCGTTGTTGGCGGCAGTGGGCGCACGTGTGGACTCGCGGTTGGACTGCCTCGAGCTGTTTCGCCGCGCGTGGCTGGTCCGCATGCGCGCGCGGGGTCGGGGGGAGAGAGGCGCGCCACAGGAACCGCCGCAACAGGCGTCGGTCTTGGAGCTCTTTGCCGCGCTAATCCGCGGCGCGCCGTGGGCGGCCGAGCGGGCACCGCTGGCACTGCCGCCTCCGCCTCGGCCAAGAGCTCCGCTCCTGGCCTTGGAGGACGGCTCCGTGGAAGACAACAACGCAGCCAGCGCGGCGGCAGGTCCGCCAGTTGGGACCCAGCCGGCGGTTCCCCCACGCGCGGAGGCCGCGGCGACACAGCCACCGCCCGCAGCAGACACAAAAGAAGAGGCGCCGGCGCCAGGAGCGGGCGCCGACGCGGTGGTACTCGCGGCCGAGCCGCCGGGGTCAGGTCCATCCCTGGCGTTGGCGGCCGACGCTTTGACCCGGGCGCGTGTGTGCAAGCGACCCGCAGCGCAGGCAAGCGGGCAAGACGCCCAGCCGCAGGCCAAGGCCAAGCAAGAATTGCCAAAGGCCGCCCAAACCAAGGCCAAGGCCAAGGCGAAGGCTAAAGCAAAGGCGAAGGGCAAGCCCAAGAGCGGTAGCGCGGGCGACCTGCGGCTGCGCCGCCAAGCTGGTATCCCGACCAGCCGGCTATCACAGTACAAAGAGGGCTGCGGCCGGTGCCGCTATCGACCATACTGCACGGCTTCTTGCTGGGCGTTGCGGGGCTACAACATCCGCTGACTCTGTCCGGAGTGGGGAAACACCGCGCGGGGGTTCGCAGGGCCGTGGATTGCTCACGACCAGGTGGGTGTTTTTGCGCAGCTGCTTTGGCTCGACTCAGACTCCAGCCATGAGCAAGGACCCGGGCGCGCACGTGTTCCAGTATGCCCTTCTGCCCGCGGCGTGGGAGCCGCGGCACGGCCGCCCGCCGCCGTGGAAGTTCAGGCGGCTCGGCGTGGGTAGCGCCGTGGCGCTGTGCCAGGTGGATGTGCTGCAGACCGGGGCGGTGGTCCGCCTGTGCCTGGACTATAGCCCGGGGTGCCACTACAAAGTCACGGACACACAAGGACGTGCGCATATAATGAGCAACCCGTCAGGCAAGTGCGCGCGGTTCTGGTTGGAAGAGCTGCAGAGCGGCGAATGGTGCGGTGAAGTGGGTAGCTGCAGGCAAGACAGAGGTCACATCTTTGTCCAGGGGACGCCTGCAGGCTTTCTTGCGCGCGCAGGGCCATGCTATATCGGTGCGGCCGGGCCGCAAGCGAGGGCGCGGTGGTCAGGTCAGCGGGGAGACAGCCGCGCGGAAACAACGCCGCCAGGTCCACCGGGTCAGGTCCGGCGGGAGTGGCGGGGCGGCAGGGCCGCCAGGAGCGGCTGGGCCGCCGGGAGCGGCAGGGCCGCCATAGGAACAGCGGGGAGTGGGGGAAAAGTGTGCGGCCGCACGTCGCGCCGTCCGTGCGTCCGCTCGTCGTCCGCTCGTCGTGCACGTTTCGTCTTGCGCGCCGCAGCCTTTTGCAGCTCTCAGTCGCAGCGCGCCCGTGCTCGGACCGCGCCGGTCGCAATGTCGACCGACTCGGACAGGGATAGTGAGGCGAGCG